CTAAAGTTACCATATTGAACATAATTACACAACACTGGTAATATCAAATAAATTATAGGCCTATATATGTGTATATATATATATATATATATATAATATATCATTGGAAGTCATTGTATTTTGCCTTGCCTTTGTGAAACTGAAGTTGAACATTCAAAACTAAATGCAAATGAAGCCTCCTCCACTGCAGCTCACATGAACACAACTGAGATGAAGGGTGAAGCCTCTTAAGTGAGACCGTCTGCTTTATCTCAGCAGGGTGAAGACCATCTGCTATTTCTGTCACTTGGCTGTATGTGTGTGTGTTTGTGTGTATATACACAGAAGCATGAGTGGAGGGCTGCTGCGGGCTGGACGAGCATTATACAGAGCAAGGGTAAATTTGATAATGCCAAACCACAAACCTCAGCACCGCACTTTCATTACTATATCGTTTCGCTCTGTCTATTCCTGTGTTCATTCAGTTATTTGCATTGGAAAACAATATATCACTTCAATATGTTCCCTCTGCAGTCATTTTTATTGAGAGGATAAAAATAATGTTATTGCAATGAATGTATTATATTTTAGGTCAATATGTTTTTTATTTAATATTTTGTATTTTTAAGGGATTGTATGGTACTAAATTATATTTATGCAGTTATAATCAATTTATTAAACCCATTTATTACCTGATAACCACTTTTTAAACACACCTGAAAATGAAATTTCCAACTTGAGCTATCATAAATTCTGAATGTTTTGGAGCTTAAGTTTGGTCTTTTTTTTTTTTAAGACACTTGGCAGATTATTGCTGAAGTGGAAAAAAGAAAAAAAAAGTCAAAAAAAAAAGTTAAACTAAGAAGTTAAAGAATTTAAAGTTTATTGTTACGAAAAATGCACAATACGGTAATATTGAAAATCCTATTTTCAAATTTTATATGGAATCAAAATATTTATCCAGCAGATGCTCTCGGTATTTGCTTCTTGAATATTTTCAAACTTGTCTGAGAGAAAACAATGATTTATTATAATTATTTAGATCATGAGTGTGATACTATAACAGCTGCACTATTTCAAATTAAGACCTGATAGAAACTTATTATCTTCCACATTATTTCTATGCAGTATTCAAGCGTTTTTTTCCCCCGACAGTGCTCTCTTGCCATAATAATAGGGCATTAAAGAGGAAGCAGGAAATGTTTGACTGGCAGCTGTGCAACTGATGCATGATCAAAATGTGAGTCAAGGTCATGCATTGACCAGAAACATAAAACATGGTTTTAAACAAAATAACCAAATAAAGAACACCTATATAAAAACTTTTAAAACAAAGAACATTTAAAACAAAGATAACATATATAAGTAATAAGTAATATCACATATAATAAAACTATGTTATATTTGTTTATGCTATTGTGTGGGTTAGCAGTCTACAGGTGCATCTCAAATTAGAATGTCGTGGAAAAGTTCATTTATTTCAGTAATTCAACTCAAATTGTGAAACTCGTGTATTAAATAAATTCAATGCACACAGACTGAAGTAGTTGAAGTCTTTGGTTCTTTTAATTGTGATGATTTTGGCTCACATTTAACAAAAACCCACCAATTCACTATCTCAACAAAATAGAATACTTCATAAGACCAATAAAAAAAAAAAATTAGTGAATTGTTGGCCTTCTGGAAAAGTATGTTCATTTACTGTACATGTACTCAATACATGGTAGGGGCTCCTTTTGCTTTAATTACTGCCCTAATTCGGCGTGGCATGGAGGTGATCAGTTGTGTCTCTTGTTTCTCATTTTCCTCTTGACAATACAAGATTCTCTCTGGGGTTCAGGTCTGGTGAGTTTAATACACGAGTTTCACAATTTGAGTTGAATTACTGAAATGAACTTTTCCACGACATTCTAATTTATTGAGATACACCTGTATATTCAGCTTCAATATTTTAACAATGAATTTCCATTCCTGACCAGTGGAGGTCGCAAAGTGTTTTTGCGTTTTCTGTTTTATTTTTGAATGTCACACGAAACTCCCTTTCAAGACCCGTTAGCAAACTTTAGAGACTTGGACTGAGTGAAATTTCTTGACGGGTAATTAATGAGGTAGGCTGGTGGAATCATTGGTATATTAAAAGTTTAATATACATAAAATTATGGGCAGGACATAAAAAATACAATACGCCACAGAACATTATTTGCTAATTGCTTGTCTGCATAAAAAATAAATAATACAAATATAAAAAATCAACGTCGTCAGCAGGAGTTCGCTATCATTTTTGGTGACCTCAAAGTTAACACACATGAATTAAAAGCCACAAAACTTTAATTTTGATTTCATGTTTAGATAGATAGATTGTATGTGATCCTTCTGTGACTCATTTTGAAACCTGAGGGCATTTACTTAACTTATAGAAGATATCTTTGACCACAATCGTTTTATTTGCCACAACAATCTATAAACAATAAGATACTTCTGCTACTATCAAAAGTAATATTCCAACTAAAATATAAAACGTCAGTGACAGTCCTTGTGTACTTTATGTACTCATTATAAATACTCTACCTGGAATGGACAAAGTATGGCCTCATTTCGAAAGTTGGTTTTCAAGATTCTGTCTTGATCCTGCGTGTTCACAGGTCACACATATTTTTGTCCTATTAGTTAATCATTGCATCATACAGTTTAGCAAGCGGGTCTTCCTGCGCATACGGAAAATACCTCAGAAATATTAATTTGTATTTAAGTCTATTAATGAGAACATGTGCCGTCTTGAATGTGCAGTAGCAGATGTTGAATGCGTTATGATTCATGGTGATTCTTGCTGAGTCACTTTTATTTCCTGTGTTTTGTATTTGTTTGTTTTAGAAGTTCTACTTTCCTATTTCGAGAAATTGTGCACTTGAATTCAACCACCTCACTCTAATAGACGTTTTATAAAGCTAAATCCTTTACTTTTCAATGTCTCTGGTTGAGAGAACTGGGTTTCATTCCTGCTATCTGCTCTTCCCTGTAGAGCAGTTGCTATAGCAACACTCTATACTTGCACATATTTTTGGCAGTAAAACCAGTTCAGGTTACTGTGTAAAACACAGGCCTACACAAAAGGCACAAAAGAGAGTTCATTTGACAAATAAGTCATAGTTTCAGTGTGTTTTTCTGAAGTGTAGCTCTACATATACTTTTCTAAACAGCATAGAGCCAGATGAATACCATTTAAGCAATCCAGATGATCTCATTTAAGTAGAAATTACGCAGTTTGTGCTTACATTGTACAAAAACGACTAACAAATGACTAACAAAACAAAGAATTTCAATGAACAGGTTTTGTAATCCTAGTTGTCATACTCAGATACTCATTTACCTGACAAAGAAGAAAGAAGGGGGAAAAAAGGATATTTGAGGCAATGGTTTTCGAACAAATTCTGTATTCATAAAATAACACAAACCAAAACTAACATGAAAAAGCAATGCTACTATACATTCAGAGGAAGTAACATGTTTACTACAACATGTGTCCTCCCACATTATTCAAACACATTCAGAAATGTTTAAGTAGTCAGAGTACAAAAAAAATGTTGATAACACTTTACAGTAAGGTACCATACTTTAACATTGTCATGTTATGGATTTTGCGTTCACTTGTTTGAAGTGTTACCAACATTGTAAAGTTCAAATTTGGTTTTATATGTACAATACAAAGTATCATATCTATGAGCAATTACTGGGTGAAAAATAAGCATGTGATCATCGTTTTTCCACTGACCTCATCATGCCATTAGAAGAGGAAAAGAAAATGAACACAACTTTCAGTTCTGAAAAGGAACTTTTTTAAAACTGTTTTATATGCCTGCAGACCAGTATATATGAAGACCACAATGAAGGATGTATAACACACTTGATTAGTACCTATTATTATTTCAGTTAACAAATTTTTCTTTTATTTCATCAGCATTATGGAGATTATGTGTAATCTATTTGATGAATGTCGTTGGCTACTGACATCAATATTAATTTTCTCAGTTTAGTGATCTTTGTTTTATCTTTAATTCTCAACAACTGGATTCTTGTTAATGTTTCTATCATTAGCCAGCAGTTACTAGGTTAATTTGGCTAGCAGTTTTTAGCTAGTTAAGGTTACAGTTAGGGTTAGTTGAAACAAATAGCATATTTGAAGCATTCATAACATGCTCTTGATCGCTTATGCACCACAAAATAAAAAAGATTGTATCAATCCTTATGATGTTTTATAAAAATACATAGAAAAAGGCATGCTGTACATTTAATAGTAAAAACCCTATTGATGAAAAATGTCCCAACCTCAGTATAAAAATAATATGAGGGTGTATTACAAATAAACTCACTTTAGCTATAAAACCATGGTGGATATATAAAGCAGTTAATGGGTGAAAATGTAAGTGAAGCTTTACATTCAAGACAAAACAATTTGTAAACAAAAAATACATTTTGTGCAACAGACTAATTAAACATTATTATTATATGTACTATGACATGCATTTCTGTAAAATGCTTTATAACACAGTACATACTCAGCACCTGATTAACATAGACACCAATGAAAATACAGCAAAAGTCACATTTACGATCTTTAATGAATGGCTTTTCAAAATTAAAATATGACTATTTGTAAAGGAAAAATAATGTAGTGTTGTACAGTAATGGGATTTCCACAAAAAAAGTGGTTATATGACAATTACGAGACATGATTTTGTCCTATCAGGACCGGAATAATTAATAAACACTCATAAAAACAAATCTAATTTGAAATTGAATATGGTTATTCAAAAAAAAAAGTGCTGTAATAGTTCCCAGTACTACAACACCTCAAGTCATGCAAAATCACGTCAGTTCATTAAAAAGGAATAGTTCACCCAATAATGAAAATCTGCTTTACAAGTGAAAACAGTCCAAAACGGTTGTAAACAAACATGTTGGTGGATTTTGAGAGGACAACAGTGGATGGACTTTTTCACTGGTGAAAGTGTTGTTATAGATTATGGACTCATATTTTCAGCAAATTTTTATTTTTGGGTGAACTAGCCTATTCCTTTAAAGAATAACCCATAATAATCAAGTTTTTCATGATCTCCCTGAGGAGAAGGTACCCCTTTGGCGTCATCTCTTGTCCATCAAATGACAGAATTGTTGGAACACCTGATCTTGAATATCACATAAGTGGCGATTAACACCAGTGCCACCGCCACGCCGGATAAAACAATAGCCCAGAATGTGGTTCTGTCTGCGGGAGAAATGACATTAATGATTTTATAAACAGAAGAATCCATTAACAGCTTCAGCAACAGTGTGACTCTACTGGTTGTTCAACACACACACTGCCAACAGCAGTCCTGGAGCAGCCTGGCAGGAACACAACACCAGTGTACGGGGACCACAAGAGACTATTGTTGCACTATTCCTCATTTCGCCTAAAAGCACCTGATGAATCATTAAATGCAAATGCAAAGCTTATTCAAGACCACAAAAGCACCCTGTAGATAAAGAATGAACTTTGGGATAAGTCAATACTGAGAGTTTAAGATAATCAACTTATATAAATATGCTGAATGTCACAAACACATGCATGTTCCTTCCTCATTTTCAGGGTTTTCATTTAAAATGGAATCAATTTTTAATAGTATATAACCAACGAAAGTTTTATTTTTATTGACTTGTTTTCTAGTTATTGTTGCTTTGTCTTAAAGGGATAGTTCACCCAAAAATGAAAATTCGATGTTTATCTGCTTACCCCCAGGGCATCCAAGATGTAGGTGACTTTGTTTCTTCAGTAGAACACAGACGAAGATTTTTAACTCAAACCGTTGCAGTCTATCAATCATATAATGGAGGTGAATGGGAATCACGGCTTTGGGAGTCAAAAAAACATACACAAACAAAACCAAATTAAACCCTGACACTAAAATGACTGACAGACTGCAACGGTTTGAGTTAAAAATCTTCGTTTGTGTTCTACTGAAGAAAC